AAGCAACAGTTTAAAGTTCACAGCAAAGCTAGAGACTATCACAGAGGGTAAGTGAGGAGGAGGAGGGACTATGAGAGGAGAGGAGATAGTGGGCGGCAGCTGAAGCTGCTGGCACACGGCGCAACTGGAGCAACTGGCACACGGGCAACTGGAGCAACTGGCACACTGGCAACTGGAGCAACTGGCACACGCGCTACTGGAGTAACTGGCTCCGCGGCTAACTCTGAGCGGCAGGAGCAACGGACCCACGGGCGACTGGAGCAACGGGCTCACGGGCAACTAGAGCAACGGGCTCACGGGCGACTGGCGCAACGGTCTCACGGGCGACTGGAGCTGCGGGCTTCAGGGCGGCCACCCCCTTTCAACCTCCCCAAACTGTCCCACCCCCCTTTCACACACCCCCTGCTGCACCCCTAGGTTCACTCACACTCCACCCCCTAGCACCACTCGGTCGGCTCCCACACACCCACCCCCCTCAGCGGTAGCTGCAGCAGTGGGAGACGGAGGAGGAGGAGGAGCAGGTAAGGCCGCACACCCGCCACCCCCCACTCGCCACCCCCAAACCCTAACACAGGGTAGGGCCGCAGCAGGGGCGGCAGCAGGGCAGAGCCGGGCAGGGCCGGGGCAGGGCCGGGGCAGAGCCGGGGTCGGGCCGCGACGAGCGACGGGGCAGGGCCAGGGCGAGGCCGCAACGAGGTCGCAACGGGGATGGGAGGGGCCGACACGCGGCCCCCCAGGTCGCCCCTCCCGTCGCCTGTCGAGGCGACCCGGGGAGGGGCCGCGCGCGGGCCCCCGTAGGCGCCGCGACGAGCGACGAGGGGGGGGGGGGGGGGGGGGGGGGCACGCACGAGCCCCTTGGGCGACGAAACCGCCGTGCGCCCTGGGGCGCGCGACGGGCAGGGCACCGCCGCGCGCCACGGGGCGCACGACGGGCAGAGTAGGGCGTCGCGCGGCCCCCAGGGCGGCGCGACGGTCAGGCGCGCGGCGGGAAGAAAAAAGGTCGCGCGCCATGGGCGCGCGGCAGGCAAACAGGCAGCGCGCGCCCGAGGCGCGCGATAGACAGAGTAGCAGCGGAAGACAATGGTGGGCCCATGCACAGGATCGACTCGTGAGGGTCGACCTGCTCTGATACCATGTTGAAATAACAGTTGCAAGTTAGAAACGAGAAAAGAGAGAGGCTTTTCACTAGCAAGCAGTTGAGTACATATAGGAAACCCTAGATTGGGCTGTACTCACTATTGAGTACCCCACTGCAGGCTAGACAAATATAACATATTCTGACACATGATTCCGCAAGGCAGCACTCGACGGCGAATGCACAGGCACCAGCACCAGCAAATGTACCTGCATCAACTGAAGAACCAATCGTCATTTCCTCTGGAACACCGTCGCAATACGACAACGTGGGACAACGCTCAGGCGCAATCAGTGATGGCGTCGCCCAATCTATGTCAAGCATGGAGAGAACCATGGAGGCACCGGGCGTAAACACACCTCGTGAATCCCATCATCACGTCAGCATCGCGGAACCTGTCGGTAACAATGACATCGGTGAGCCGATTCCACTCAAGCCGCAGCGCCCGCCCTATTTCGATCCTAGCCAGCGTGGAGGTCCAGCGGTTCAATCATGGGTGTTCATGACGAACGCATTTGTTTTACGCGAATTACGTCATGTCAGGTGCATTGATGATCATCTATGCCGTGTCCTTGCTGCGCGGGCCCACCATGGAGTGGTGGCAAGTTATCGTAACATTGTTGAGTGCATACGAGCCATTATCGCAAGGGGAGAGGCCCTCGGGGCCAGCCGTAACCTAGAATTTGTTCTCCAAAGTCACCCAATACAACACGTGGGACGCGTGGTGCGCAGGGCTTCATGCGCGATTCGAGCCAATCGTGGCTTCGAACTCAGCACACCGGATCTCAAGCACTTGGTGGCAACTTGGGTCGGTTCAAAATTACACTAGCGGTTTTCCCGCACTCTACGAACAGGTCGGCTACATGCACGAAGCGGAGCAAATGGATTAATTACTACATCGGCAGCTTGAAGTCGGAAATCTCACAGGAAACCCTACTTGAGGAAATCCTAGCGCTCGCCGAGAATATCGGCTTACTACAGTGTCCGAGGCCGGGGTCCTACCACTACGGACATCGTACTCGGGGAACGACCGAGCACGCCATTGTACACACTGTCGCAACGAATGCAGCAGCTGCACCATTCAAGGGGCGCTGCTTTGCGTGCAATAAGCTGGGCCAAGCAAGAGCGAATGCCCAAAGGGGCTAAAGCGCGGAGGACCAGAGCAGGGTAGGGAGTCTGGAAGGTAGGGAAACGGCAGCAGTCAGTAGAGTACGGGCCCACTACTGACGAGACTCACTGCTCGCCCGACCCCACTGACCCTCACCGAGTGACTGTACCGATTCACACAATCGATCGGACTCGGCTGAATAAGGACGGTACATCGACACATTGCCCAATACTGATTCACAGGAAAATACAGGGGACAGCCATGAAGATTTTTATCGACGGAGAAGCTAGCCACTGTTTGGTTAATACCGCAACCGCAAGGAAGCAGCAACTGACACTTAGTCGTTGTTTACAAAAGATCGACACACACCTAGTTGTCGGCACGCCGCTAGCTATACGGGAAAAGATGGAGAGAGTGAAGATTCACTGCGGAGGAAACTTCGGATTTACACAGGATATGCTCGCGACAACATTGGATGGGACCGATATTTTACTAGGACGTTATTGGCTGCGACGCTAGAACCCGTGAACCAACTTGACAATAGGTAGCTGCACTGTGCGAAGAGACGCTAACTATGTTACATTACCTCGCTGGCAAACGCATGAGTCTTCAATGGTCCACGTCAATGTTAGAATGTGAGCGAATGAATGATTGAACTAGAAAGCAGGTGGGTACAAGAGGCAAACCTAAAAGTGTTGTACCCTATATGAACTACCCCACTACAGCCTAAACAGACTATAGCATATAAGTTTGACAAACCCCCATAGGCAAAGTGGGGGAGAACAAGCGGTCACAAGACCAGTAAAGAAAGACAAAGCAAGCTCAGGGTGGATCACAAAGTCACCACGCAGTCTGAGCACAAGCAAATGGCCACAAGGCCAGTTCACATGCAGAGTTATATAAAGGAAAACAAACAATACAGAGAACACAACGTAGCAAGTGTATGCATGCAGGTATATGTATATAGAGTACAGTACAAGCAGAGTCAAGAAGTAAGCAAGTGAGGCACAGTAGGTACAAGGCCTAACACAGTACAGAAACGCTGATGATCACAAGGCTGAAGTGCCTTGGTGAAAACATCAGCAGTGTTAGCATGAGAGGCCACGTAAGCAAGACGAAGCTGGCCACGCTGCTGCAGCTCTCGAGCAAGGAAGTAGCACAGAGCAATGTGCTTCGTTCTGTGCTCCAGTCTGTGCTCCGGACATAAGGCCAGCATGGCCTTGTTGTCGACGTACAGAACTGGAGGAGAACGAGGCGCCTCTCCCAAGTCGGTCAGCAGGTAGGTGAGCCAGCGTAGCTCCTGTGCAGCCATGGCCCCAGCGTAGATCTCAGCCTCACAACTGGAGCTGAGAACAAAAGAAGAGCGGGTAGACCGCCAAGAGACAGAACCGGAGCCAAGACTGAAGGTGTAACCCTATGACGACCGCTGCGTAGCAAAGTCATCAACCCAGGAGGCGCCAGCGTGACCAGTGAGGTCAACTTGAGCCCGTCCTCCAAGCACGAGCCCCATGCCATATGTACTGCATAAGTATCGCAACACCCTCTTAGCAGCCTCCCAGTGTCTCTTGGGCACAACGTAGCGTGCCAGGATGCTAAGAGGGTAGGCAAAGTCAGGTTGAGTGCACGTCATCAAGTACATGAGGCAGCCCACAAGCTCTGGATACGGGCCTCTCGGCTCTACGGACTCGTCCAAAGGTGGAGCGCTGAGCGAGTGACCGGTAGGCAGAGGCGTGGACTGTGGCGAGGAGTACGTGAAGCCGAAGTGCTGAAGGACCTGCTGCACCATGTTTGACTGAGTCAAGGTAATGGTGCACTGTGCTCTGTCCCGGCGTGATCCGCAAGTCAAGATAGCTTGTCAGCTCACCCAGGTCTGTGCACGTGTGTCTCTTCTACAGCTCGGACTTCACGTGGGTGAGTGTCTTAGTTTCAGCAGTAGCAAAGACGAGGTCGTCTACGTACACGAGAACGTAGAGCGGCGGCAGAGTGGTGTCAGTGCGTAAAAACAGAGAAGGGTCAGAAGTGGAAGGAGCATAACCAAGAGCAGCAAGAGTCATCCTGAGTGTGTCATGCCACTCACGGGGTGCCTGGCGGAGACCGTAGACTGGCCGCCGGAGGCACCACTGGGTACAAGCGGGAAATGACCAAGTGAAGCCAGGTGGGTGGCGCAGCCAGATCTCCTCGTGCAGGCTGCCCTGTAGGAAGGATGTGCTGAAGTCAAGCGAGTGGAGCTCGTAGTCACAGTGAGCAGCAACGTGCAGCAGTACCCGAAGAGTGGTCATCTTCAAGGTAGGGGAGAAGGTATGAAAGAAGTCAACTCCCTGTCGCTGACTGAAGCCACGTGCAACGTAACGCGCCTTGAAGGCAGGCGGAGAACCCGGCGGCCGCTTCACCCTGAAAATCCACATGCCACTGACGATGTTCGCCCCAGGTGGGGGAACCTCGTCTACGTAGGTGCCTGTGGACTTCCAGGAAGCCATCTCTGGGTCCATGGCTGCCTGCCACTGAGAGGAGTAGGGACCCTTTATCGCCTCTGCATAAGAGCGCGGGGTCGGGATGTCTGGTGCATCCGGGTCTCCCTCAGGGGCAAGCAGCATGGACACGAGATGAGGTACAGTAGCGGCAAAGCAGTCAAACTCCTCCTATCTGTCCTCAAGAACGTCCGTGCCAAGAGCAAACTCACCCCCGATGGACGGAGGACAGACAGGCGAAATGGGACACGACTCACGCTCACGACGCTCCGTAAGACCCCTAGTCGGTCTAGAGTAAGGAGAAGGACCAGGTAGTGGAGAGGCCGGCTGTAACTGCGACTGGGACTGGACAGGCGGTGCACGCAGGAAAGGAGGAGGAGGACCAGGAGAAGGCGGGGAACCAAGAACCTGCTGAAGGAGCGGAGCGTAGTACGGCCGCGGCCGCGGAGCGCCTCCAGAAATAGCAAAGATAGAACCGGTACCCTCAGCCCCAGGGACTCCAGTCCGAGCAGCACCTTCAGTCCCAGCAGCACCAGCACCAGCAGCACCTCCAGCAGCTCCAGCAGCTCCAGCACCAGGAGCACCTCTAGCACCAGCAACACCGCCAGCAGCTCCAGCAGTACCTCCAGCAGCTCCAGCAGCTCCAGCACCAGCAGCACCTCCAGCAGCTCCAGCAGCTACAGTACCAGCAGCACCTCCCGCACCAGCAGTACCTCCAGCAGCTCCAGTAGCACCTCCAGCAGCTCCAGCAGCACCAGCACCAGCAGCACCTCCAGCACCAGTAGCACCTCCAGCAGCTCCAGCACCAGCAGCACCTCCAGCAGCTCCAGCAGCAGCTCCTGCAGCACCAGTACTAGCAGCACCTCGACAGCGCCGAGAGTACCACTCACGAAGCTGCTGTGGAGAGAGGGGCTCCCGCCGCAACGGGACACCTCGAGCACCTCGAGACCCAGCACGCACAGGCTCAGCACCCTCAGACGCAGTATTCTCAGGCTCCACACGCCCAGGCTCAGTGTTGTGTGATGCAATCATATGCATTCACGTCTGTCTGCCTCCCATCATGTGTTCGTGCGTTGCATGCGTGGTGTGAGCGTATGCAAGAATTTGTGTTCTGTGCGGTTTGGTTTTTCTGAGTGTGTGTGAATGTTATTTGGCTTGAGCAGATATATGAAGTGACTCCTCTGCTCTAGAGCTTTCCGACGAACCAAGTATCGCTTCAATCGGAGCACGAACAAGAAAGTTACGAACGTTGGAAGTTCGTATGCTTTTGATATTTGGTTGTGGTGACTATGGGAAGTTGTGGTGTTGACTCCATAAGGAGTACAGACTTTTGGGGGTTGGGAAATTCGATACCATCACTGTAGATGATGCCAAGTGGTTGGGGGAAGCCAAACCAGGTTGGCAAGTGTGGCCAAGTTGAGTGAGGTGGATGGCATGAGTTGGGAAAGTGACAAATGTCAAAGTTGGGGTGCCTATAGAGAGGGGAATTGTGTGGTATGGGGTGTCCTTGGTTGGGGACTCCTTTGGGACCTTCCCTCTCGTCCTTCTCATCCCCTCCTACCTGGTTCTATTGCTACTCTAACTTTCTTGTGTGAACTTGTGAGATAATTGTGATTGAGTTACGTTTTCTATGGCAGCATACCCCCTAGTGCGCCGAAGTTTATAACTCGAGTTATACTCCATATTTTGATACTAATCAAATTGGGAAAGATAGCCACGGTCAAGGGCTACAACATACTCGAGTTTGAAAGAATTCTAACAGTGGACCTTTCGTCGACGACGTTTCTTGTGACGACGACTTTTCTGTCCAGAATTGTAGTTGACGATTTTGAGATATTTCAGCCCCTAATCTTCATAGACTCCGTCCTTAGTCTCTAACACTCAGCACCACCAGGCTCAGCACGCCCAGACTCAGCACCCCCAGACTCAGCACCCCCAGGCTCCACACGCTCAGGCTCAGCACCCCTAGCAGCACCTGAGTCGACAGCTACCTCGACCGGCTCGGCAGGGTCTAGCTGGGACACACCTGAGGGGGCAGGACCCTGGGGGGGGAGGGGGTCTACCGGGGGAGTACCTGGTGCTAGAAAGAGCGGCGGGGGGGGGGAGAGAGGCAGTGCGGTAGGGAAAGAGACGGTAGTAAGACACCGACTCGTCAAACGTGACATCCTGAGAGGACAGAACACGACGCGCGGTGGGGTGGTAGAACTGCCACCCGGGTGCGTCAGGAGGGAAGCCAAGGAAGACACAGGGAACGGCACGGGATGACAGCTTGTCCGCTGAAGTATCGCGGACAAAAGCTCGAGATCCCCAGACACGGAACGCGGACGCATCGCCAACCTTCCCCGTCCACCTCAGAGTAGGTGTGGTCTCCGGTAAGGAGACACGAGGGTGAAGGTTGATCTGATGCGCAGCGTACTGAACCGCGAACGGCCACAGAAAATGGGGAGCAGCCGCATGGATCATGGACGTACGAGCGACGTCGATGACCATGCCAATGCGGCTCAGCAATCCCATTTTGCTGTGGGGAGGCCGGAAGCGTGAACGTCTGGCGGATGCCCTCCGCACGAAAGAAGGCCCTCAGGAGGTCGGAGGAAAACTCACCACCTCCGTCGGAGTGCAGATGCAGAACAGGGAGGTCTGAGCCAAAACTCTCGCTGAGCTGGCGACGAGCACCGCGGATCCAGTCGATCAACACCTCAGGGACCTCACCCTTGCTGCGCAAGGGGAAGACTGTGGTGTAACGCGAGTAGTCGTCAACGATCAGCAGGAAGTAACGCTCGTGACCCTGTCCACGGACGCGGGCTGGGCCCCACACGTCCATGTGAAGAGTCTGCAGGGGAGCCTCAGTCGGAGGGAACGTGGAGGAGTGAGGAGCGGCGCGCTGCCGGCCTTCGACACAAGGAACACAGGTAGGGGCAGGCCCCGGAGGAAGGGGAGGGAGGGACCGGGGTAGACCCGAGACAAGGGCACGGGAGGCCATACCTCGAAGACGAGGCAGGGAGGGGTGACCAAGGTGGTGGTGCCAAAGGAGAGTCTTGTGCGATAGAGGACGACACGAGCAGGGGGCAGACGCAGGACTAGACCTGGACACGGCAGCAAACACCTGACTAGACGCAGCTACCTGACCAGACGCAGAGACCGAAGGAGACGCAGTAGTCAGTGTGTACAGACTCGACCCTGGCCGACGGGTGAACGTGGCCAGGTGGCGGCCCCTCCGAGAGCAAGTGCAGTGGGTCACACACTGACCTCCAGGGGCAAACTGGTCAACCCACGCGTCATGGAGGTCAGCTCCACTCACCAGGTTCGTAGAGAACGAGGGGAGGTGGAGTCCCAACAGCAAGCCCGATGGGGCCGTAAGACACGGTAAAACCGTGGAAGAGTGCGCAAGGACTAGGCCCCCAGAGGGGTCAACCAGGGAGACTGCAATAGGCCGGCTGAGTGGCGTGAGAGTGGTGTTGTCTCTAAAGGAGCGCGAAGCACCAGAGTCAAGTGTGAAAGTGTGCAAGGCCTCAGTAGGTGCAGTACCAGAGAGAGCAAACTCACCAGCACCTGGAGCAGCAGACTCACCAGTACCTGGAGCAGCAGACGCACTAGCACATAGAGCAGCAGCCGCAATGCCCGGGTCGGGCGGGACACTCAGGTAACAGTCACCCTCAGCACAATCAGTCAAAGCATATACGGCAACAAGGATAGCATCGAAATCAAGATCAAAGATAAGCACATTCTGCATAAGCAGATCATGCCAGCGAGGGAGCTCAACAGCGTCAGGAAACTGGGCACGCCAGGCGTCAGTCAAGCGACCGAAGCAGCGCTGCGTAGTGTGTGGCAGCCCACACGCCTCCCCACGACGACTACCAGTGCGAAGAACGTAAGTGCAGGGACCAGCACCCCCAGACCTCCCACGCCCAGCGTACCACTCACGAAGCTGCTGGGCCGACGGGGTCTCACGGGAGCATGGCTGATGCTGGCGCTGGCTACCACCAAAGCCTCCACGCTGCACGGCTGCACCTCGACCAGCACCACCGCCGCCGCCACCTCCACCACCGCTGCCGCTGCCTCCACCACCGCTTTCGCTGCCTCCACCTCCTCCGCCGCTGCCTCCACCACCTCCACCGCCGCCACTAAAGCCCCCACTCCCGGTACCACCCCCACCTCCACCGCCACCCCCTCCGCCTCCTCCACCGCCTCCACCGCCGCCCCCGCCGCCCCCTCCACCACCCTTGCTCCCCTTGCCCTTGCTGTTGCGGCGCCTCCCACTAGGGGCAGACGCAGCTCCGACCTCCTCAGTGCCAACGAGGTCGACAGCAGCAACAGAAGCAACAGAGGGGAGAAGGGGGACAGGGGAACACCCCTCAAAGAAAGGGTGCGACGGTCGCCGCGAGAAGCACCTACAGTCAAGATACTCTTCTCAGCTGCAGCAAGGCGCTCCTCTAGCAAGTCGACAGTCAGCTCGGTGGGGTAAAGGGAGAGAAAGTGGTCCCTGACTGAAGAAAGGGAGTCAGGGAGGCGGGTGACTAGGTAGTAAAGGGTGATGTACATGGGGGGGGGGGGGGGGGGTTCTTGGCACAGAACTCAGTGGGAAGGGCAGCGCGGTAGCGGGCGTCACTAGTGCGGAGGTGAGCAACGAGGTCAGCGACTGTGGCAAAGGCGGCAAGGTCAGGGAAAAGGTACGGTAGCATGAGGCGGCTGAGGGCAGCAGTGGCAGGGGAGGAGTAGCGCGCAACTACAGCGTCGTACAAAGACTGAGCAGTCTTGTACTGGCCAAAATGCGCGCGCTCAGTAGGCGGCAGGTGACTACGAATAGCAAGACGAGCAACAGCGTCACAAGTGGTCCACTGCGAGCGAACCGTACTGTCAGCAGTGGTAGCAGGGGCAGTAGAGATACCGGACGTGTGATCGAAAAGGGATACCCCATCCCTAGAGTCACACTGAAGAAAGAGCTGCAGGTCGTCAACCCACACATCAAAGTCAACTGCACGCTCCTCAGCATCAAAGGTGATAACAGTAGGGCTAGCCATAGCAGCAGCAGAAGCAGTAGCAGCAGTAGAAGTAGGGCAGTGCAGGGCAGTGCAGCTCAGTAGGGGGGCGCGGCTCGGTAGGGCAGCGCGGCTCGGCAGAGCTGCGCGGCTCAGTGGGCAGCGCGGCTCGGCTGGGCGGCGTGGCTCGGCAACTGGCGGCGCGGCGCAGCAGGGCGGCGCGGATGCTTACCAGGGGCGGGTGCAGGGCCGGGACGTGACAGCAGGGGCCGCGATAGCTGGGGGCGCTCCAGCAGGGGGGGGGGGGGGGGGGGGGGGGGGGGCGACAGCAGGAGCCGCGTCAGCAGGGGGCCGGGCCGTGACAGCAGGGGCCGCGCCAGTAGGAGTGGCGACGGCAGGGGGGCCGCGACTGCAGTGGGGCCGCGTCAGCAGGGGCCGCGCCAGTAGGGGCCGCGCCAGCAGGGGGCCGTGTCAGGAGGGGGCCGCGTCAGCAGGGGCCGCGTCAGCAGTGGGCCGCGTCAGCAGGGGCCGTGTCAGCAGGGGCCGTGTCAGCAGGGGCCGCGCCAGCAGTGGGGGCGGCCGCGCCAGCAGCAGGGGCCGCGACGGGCTAGGGCCGCGACGGCAGTATGGGCCGCGTCGGCAGTAGGGGCCGCGATGGCAGGCGGGTCGCGACGGCAGTAGGGGCCGCCACAGGCAGTAGGGGCCGCGACGGGCTAGGGCCGCGACAGCAATAGGGGCCGTGTCAGTAGTAGGGGCCGCGACGGCAGGCGGGGTCGCGACGGCATTAGGGGCCACGACAGGCAGTAGGGGTCGCGTCCAGCAGGGGCCGTGACGGGCGACAAAGGGGCCACGACGGGCAGGGCGCGATGCGTGCTTCGGGCAGGGCAGGAAAATAAAATTTGTGGTGGGCCCTTAAAAAACGTTCCCACTAGGGAACCTGCTCAGAATACCATGTTAGAATGTGAGCGAATGAATGATTAAACTAGAAAGCAGGAGGGTACAAGTGGCAAACCTAAAAGTGTTGTACCATATATGAACTACCCCACTACAGCCTAAACAGAC